AATTGGACGCATAACCGCCAAATTTTATGTAGCTGTCTTTATTCTACTTTCAAATATTTAATATTACCTTTCAAGGTTGTGTAGAAACTACTTGAACCTATCAAGCCACTCCATAAAAGCTTTTAGGAACTTAGCTTTTAAGATTGTTGGAGAGCTACCCGAACCTGTTAAGTTATACCACAAAAATTTCAAGAAAACGTGTGACATACAACTGAACACACGATTGGCAATTCCCATGAATCTAGCTTTATTATTTTCCCGAAAATTTAAAATTAGTTTTTGAAGTTGTATGATAACTAGTCAAAAGTGTCAATTTATTACAGAGAAACGTTAACGATATATCTGGGGTAAAGTTGGGCACACGACTGCAAAATTTCATGCAGCTAGGTTGTGTACGATCTATTCGAACCTGTTAAGCAATTTTATAAAGACCTTAGTGATATGTTTGACCTACAATTGTGCATGTGACTGTCAAGAATCATTTATCTGACATTATTACTTTTACAAATATTTAAAATTAGCCTTTAGAGATGTATAGTAGCTTTCCAAACTTGTTAAGCCATTGCACAAAAACTTCAGGGATATATCTGGGTTGTATATATAATTTTCCTAAAAAATTATTTAAGAAAATTCTACTTTAAAATTTTTCTGCAACCGAGCTATTAAAAGTCTAAATATATATATGTATAATGTTTATATATATATATATAAACATGTATACATATATATATATATAATATTATATTAACTATTATTGTACACAAGATGGCGATGTCTCTTATTTTACAATTTTTCTGAATACGTCATAAAAATAAGGTTTTTGGGTTGTAAGGGCGCTACCCGAAATTATATAAAAACTAAGGATATATGGGCTATAATTGGACGCATAACCGCCAAATTTTATGTAGCTAACTTTATTCTACTTTCAAATATTTAATATTACCTTTTAAGGTGGTGTAGAAACTACTTGAACCTGTCAAGCCACTCCATAAAAGCTTTAAGGAACTTAGCTTTTAAGATTGTATGAGAGCTACCCTATTCTTATTTTTCTTTCTATGCTTATTTTTCTTATTATTCTTTTTTTTTGGAGAGCTACCTTATTCTTTATTCTACTTTCAAATATTTAATATTACCTTTTAAGGTGGTGTAGAAATTACTTGAACCTGTCAAGCCACTCCATAAAAGCTTTAAGGAACTTAGCTTTTAAGATTGTTGCAGAGCTAACCGAACCTATTAAGTTATACCACAAAAATTTCAAGAATACGTCTAGCTTTATGAATCTAGCTTTATTATTTTCCTGAAAATTTAAAATTAGTTTCTGGAATTGTATGACAACTAGTCAATTTATTCCAAAGAAACATCAACGATATAACTGGGATAAAGTTTGGCACACGACTGCAAAAATTTCATGCAGCTAGGTTGTGTGCGATCAATCTGAACCTGTCATGCAATTTTATTAAGACCTTAGTGATACGTCTGACCTACAATTGTGCATGTGACTGTGAAGTGTCATTAATCTGACATTATTATTTTTACGAATATTTAAAATAAGCTTTTAGAGATATATAGTAGCTTTCCAGCCTTATAAGGCCATTGGCCAAAAACTTCATTGATATATCTGGGTTGTATATATAATTTTCCTAAAAAATTATTTAAGAAAATTCTACTTTAAAATTTTTCTGCAACCGAGCTATTAAAAGTCTAAATATATATATGTATAATGTTTATATATATATATATAAACATGTATACATATATATATATATATATATATATATAATATTATATTAATTATTATTGTACACAAGAAATTATATAAGGGTAAAAAAACTTTAAGGGTATATAAGCTATAATTGGACGCATAACCGCCAAATTTTATGTAGCTGTCTTTATTCTACTTTCAAATATTTAATATTACCTTTCAAGGTTGTGTAGAAACTACTTGAACCTATCAAGCCACTCCATAAAAGCTTTTAGGAACTTAGCTTTTAAGATTGTTGGAGAGCTACCCGAACCTGTTAAGTTATACCACAAAAATTTCAAGAAAACGTGTGACATACAACTGAACACACGATTGGCAATTCCCATGAATCTAGCTTTATTATTTTCCCGAAAATTTAAAATTAGTTTTTGAAGTTGTATGATAACTAGTCAAAAGTGTCAATTTATTACAGAGAAACGTTAACGATATATCTGGGGTAAAGTTGGGCACACGACTGCAAAATTTCATGCAGCTAGGTTGTGTACGATCTATTCGAACCTGTTAAGCAATTTTATAAAGACCTTAGTGATATGTTTGACCTACAATTGTGCATGTGACTGTCAAGAATCATTTATCTGACATTATTACTTTTACAAATATTTAAAATTAGCCTTTAGAGATGTATAGTAGCTTTCCAAACTTGTTAAGCCATTGCACAAAAACTTCAGGGATATATCTGGGTTGTATATATAATTTTCCTAAAAAATTATTTAAGAAAATTCTACTTTAAAATTTTTCTGCAACCGAGCTATTAAAAGTCTAAATATATATATGTATAATGTTTATATATATATATATAAACATGTATACATATATATATATATAATATTATATTAACTATTATTGTACACAAGATGGCGATGTCTCTTATTTTACAATTTTTCTGAATACGTCATAAAAATAAGGTTTTTGGGTTGTAAGGGCGCTACCCGAAATTATATAAAAACTAAGGATATATGGGCTATAATTGGACGCATAACCGCCAAATTTTATGTAGCTAACTTTATTCTACTTTCAAATATTTAATATTACCTTTTAAGGTGGTGTAGAAACTACTTGAACCTGTCAAGCCACTCCATAAAAGCTTTAAGGAACTTAGCTTTTAAGATTGTATGAGAGCTACCCTATTCTTATTTTTCTTTCTATGCTTATTTTTCTTATTATTCTTTTTTTTTGGAGAGCTACCCTATTCTTTATTCTACTTTCAAATATTTAATATTACCTTTTAAGGTGGTGTAGAAACTACTTGAACCTGTCAAGCCACTCCATAAAAGCTTTAAGGAACTTAGCTTTTAAGATTGTTGCAGAGCTAACCGAACCTATTAAGTTATACCACAAAAATTTCAAGAATACGTGTGACCTATAACTGAACATATGATTGGCAGTTCCCATGAATCTAGCTTTATTATTTTCCTGAAAATTTAAAATTAGTTTCTGGAATTGTATGACAACTAGTCAATTTATTCCAAAGAAACATCAACGATATAACTGGGACAAAGTTTGGCACACGACTGCAAAAATTTCATGCAGCTAGGTTGTGTGCGATCAATCTGAACCTGTCATGCAATTTTATTAAGACCTTAGTGATACGTCTGACCTACAATTGTGCATGTGACTGTCAAGTGTCATTAATCTGACATTATTATTTTTACGAATATTTAAAATAAGCTTTTAGAGATATATAGTAGCTTTCCAGCCTTATAAGGCCATTGGCCAAAAACTTCATTGATATATCTGGGTTGTATATATAATTTTCCTAAAAAATTATTTAAGAAAATTCTACTTTAAAATTTTTCTGCAACCGAGCTATTAAAAGTCTAAATATATATATGTATAATGTTTATATATATATATATATATAAACATGTATACATATATATATATATATATATATATATATATATATATATATATATTATATTAATTATTATTGTACACAAGATGGCGATGTCTCTTATTTTACAATTTTTCTGAATACGTCATAAAAATAAGGTTTTTGGGTTGTAAGGGCGCTACCCGAAATTATATAAAAACTAAGGATATATGGGCTATAATTGGACGCATAACCGCCAAATTTTATGTAGCTAACTTTATTCTACTTTCAAATATTTAATATTACCTTTTAAGGTGGTGTAGAAACTACTTGAACCTGTCAAGCCACTCCATAAAAGCTTTAAGGAACTTAGCTTTTAAGATTGTTGGAGAGCTACTCTATTCTTATTTTTCTTTCTATGCTTATTTTTCTTATTATGCTATTTTTTTGGAGAGCTACCCTATTCTTTATTCTACTTTCAAATATTTAATATTACCTTTTAAGGTGGTGTAGAAACTACTTGAACCTGTCAAGCCACTCCATAAAAGCTTTAAGGAACTTAGCTTTTAAGATTGTTGCAGAGCTACCCGAACCTATTAAGTCATACCACAAAAATTTCAAGAATACGTATGACCTATAACTGAACATATGATTGGCAGTTACCATGAATCTAGCTTTATTATTTTCCTGAAAATTTAAAATTAGTTTCTGGAATTGTATGACAACTAGTCAATTTATTCCAAAGAAACATCAACGATATAACTGGGATAAAGTTTGGCACACGACTGCAAAAATTTCATGCAGCTAGGTTGTGTGCGATCTATCCGAACCTGTCATGCAATTTTATTAAGACCTTAGTGATACGTCTGACCTACAATTGTGCATGTGACTGTCGAGTGTCATTAATCTGACATTATTATTTTTACGAATATTTAAAATAAGCTTTTAGAGATATATAATAGCTTTCCAACCTTATAAGGCCATTGGACAAAAACTTCATTGATATATCTGGGTTGTATATATAATTTTCCTAAAAAATTATTTAAGAAAATTCTACTTTAAAATTTTTCGGCAACCGAGTTATTAAAAGTCTAAATATATATATATATAATGTTTCTATATATATATATTTATTTAAGAAAATTCTACTTTAAAATTTTTCTGCAACCGAGTTATTAAAAATATATATATATATATATATATATATATGTATATATATATATAATGTTTACACACACACATATATATATATATATAATGTTTACACACACACACATATATATATATATATATATATATATATATATATATATATACGTGTGTGTATGTGTGTGTATGTATATATATATACATATATATATAATTATATTAAGTGAAATAAAAAAAAATGTATACCTTTGAAAATTTAAATTTTTTTTTTTGTTATATAAAATATTATGGTAAAAGTATTTATAATGATTGTAATCAAAGTACATAATAAAAATTATAATATGTTAGTTTTAGGTACAACAAAATAGTTATATATACGTATAAATAGATTAATAATAAAATTAATAATAATGTGTAAGTAAAATTTATTCAAATTTAGTAAAATTTAAAAAAAATTTTTTTTAAATACTTTTATATTTTTTTTTTAATTTATTGTGCTTACTGTGAATTTGTATTAACAACATTCGTTGTACCAAGTATCATCATACTTTTAATATTAGCCACTTCTGATTCTAATCTTGCTAATTGAGATTTCAAATGTATATTTTCTTCCTTATCACTTATCACAGAAGATTTTTTTATATGTCCATTACTATTATTATTATTCACATTATTGTTGTTGTTATTACTACTATTTAGATTTTTGCGTTGATGATGTAATGTCCACTCAGTTGTACCAATTGATATACCAGAATCTCTTTCATCACTTGAACCTTCATTATCCCATGGTGGACTTGATTGTGATGATGGTAAATATTCTTGTTTAATATGCTGTAATGCTAATAGTGCTGTTGCTGCATCCTTATCACCCAAATGAGATTTATGACGTAATTTAAGTGGCAAACTATTATGTAAATCAACAGCTGTTACTAAATTGTCACCACATGTTTCATTATCGTCATCATTTGATGTATTCGATGATACATTACAATGTGATAAATAATCACATGGTGATGTTGAACCACCGTTATTATTATTATTATTATTATTATTATTATTATTATTATTATTATTATTACTATTATTATTATTACTATTATTACTATTATTATTATTATTATTATTAGTATTATTATTATTTTTATTATTATTATTATTGTTATTATTATTATTATTATTACTATTATTATTATTATTATTACCACGGTTATTGATACAAATATTTGTATTATTATTTATTTCATTCATGTTAGAACTGTTATTGTTATTACCCATGTCATTGTTATTAACATTACGACGTGATAAATTCAATACATTATTACCATTTAATACAACACCATGTATTGATGCAGCAGCAACAACAGCAGCTGCTGCTGATGCAACTGCTGCAGCTGCAACAGCTGATGCTGATGTTGGTGATGATGATGAACCAGATACTGATGACGGTGATGATGATAATGATGATGACGAACCGATAATTAATGATGTTGGGCTATTACAATCAATATTTGTTGTACCTGCTGCTGTTGATGATGATGTTGTACCGGGTGTTATTATTTTTGATGATAAATTAATTGTATGTTTCATTATATCATTGTATTCTCGATCATGTATATCGTGATGATGTTGAATATGATAATGATGGTGATGATTTTGATTATTATTATTATTGTGGTGTGAAGATAAATGTGGTGTTGTTGTTGCTAATTCATCAAGACCATATTGTTCAATATAAGGTGGCGGATTATTATTATTTCCTAATGTTATATTTCCATTATTATTGTTAATACCATTATTTCTTATTTCTCTTGTTGATGCAGTTGACGATGATGATGATGGCGAAGATAATGAAGGTGTTGCAGAGCTGTTATTATTACAACTAATTAAAGTACCATTATTTAAATTATTTTTAATTATTAATTTCGGCGATGACATCGCACGATTTAATATTGATGATGTTGATCCAGTTGGTATATCAATTTGATCATTTGATAATAAAATATTATTTGGATTAATTATAGTACCAGAATTTGTTGTATTATTACCAGAGAATGGTAAATGTCCAGACAAATGATGATGATTTGTATGTGAAAATATAGAATGATGATCATATGGCGATGTGGATGATGGTGTTGGAGCAGAAGATAAATTGCCATTATTACTACTGCTGTTAATGCTGTTATTATTTGAATTTTCATTTCTTTGATCAAATATTGGACGGTGATGAAAACTATTACGTTCCAAACGTCCACTAATATTCGATGATGAATTAGAATTATTTTGATTTCCATTATTATTGTTGTTGTTACTATTATTATTATATATATGATGACAGATATTATCATCATGATGATTACAATTAGTATGATGAAAATGATGATGATTTGATTGTAATTGCTGTTGCTGATGATATATTACTTTATTTTTATTATTATTATGATGATGAGAATAACTTGTTGAAGAAGTACTGTCACAAGATAGTATACTTTGATGTTGTTGCAGTGGATGTGGTTGATTTGAATGTTGTTGTTGCTGTAGTCCAGGTGAAGTTGAATTACTATTATTTAAATTCTTTTGATTTATTGTTGTACTTGTTGAATAAGAACGTGATGATATATAACCAATAGGTGAATTTAGTTGAGATGATGTTGGTTGATTTTGTAAAGCTGTTGATAAAGATGATGATGAAGAAGAAGAGGATGACGATGAAGATGAGGAAGATAATATATTTGTAGTATGATTTAATAAAGATGATGTTGTTGCTGTTATCGAGCTACCAATTGGAATGTTACTATCTCTTCCACTATTATTATTATTATTATTATTATTATTAATATTATTATTATTGTTATTATTATTATTATTATTGTTATTATTATTATTATTATTATTATTATTATTATTATTATTATTATTATTATTATTATTATTATTATTATTATTATTATTATTACTATTACTATCTATTAAAGAATTTGTTTGTAATGATGGTTGTATAACAGATGTTAAAATTGGACTTGATGATAATGGATAAATAATTGTTGGTGGTACTGTATTTGATATTTTAGCACGTTTTGTAATACTTAAAACTTGTTCACTTGTTGGTAATGTTGCTAATATTTGGTCAACGCTAACTAATTTTTCACCACATATATTAAATTTATCTCTAATGGCATCCAATTGAGCTTTAAGAACATGATTCTCTTTTGTTAACTCAACAACACGTTGTTCTAATACCATATCATTAAAACGTCTTTTTTCACGTGAACGTTTTGCTGCTTCATTATTACGACGTCTTCTATCCCAATAGCTCTCATCTTTTTTATTATCTGGTATAAATTCCCGTTGTTTACGTTGCGTAAATAAATCTTTACGTTTTAATTGATTCATTTCATAATTACTTTGTGAATAGCTATCATGTTGTGGTGACATAGGAGACATAGGTGATCTCGGTAATAATAATCCATGTCCTTAATTTTACAACAAAAATTAGAAATTAAAAAAAAAAATAAAATTAATTAAATATGCATAAGATATGATCAATTATTTGCAAATAGATTATGTAATTCCAACCTCATTTCTAATACCCTTAAGAGAACTTTCGACAAACCCTTTTACTTTCTTTTCCCTCCCATTTTTATATCCTTGTTTGTAGTTTTGTCAATTGGAGTGACTGTACCGATCCTCTTCCGAGGATTCCAATGTAATTTCTAATACTCTTAAAAGAATTTCCGACAAACTCTTTTACCATCTTTTCCCTCCCATTTTCATATCCTAGTTTGTAGTTTTGTGAATTGGGGTAACTGTACCGATGTAATTTAAGGCATTTGCTAATGAAATCTTTCAAGACCAAACATCCTTTTAACACGAATCAGTGCGAGACTCCGCAAGGCACCCTCTCCCACCCAACGCGGATATAAAACCGCACAACCTTCCTCCCGTCATGGATCAACGTTTGAAAGAAGGTGTGCTGGGATCATCTCTAGTAATTCATTCCACATCCTAAAAATATCAAATGTACTCTATGTGAGGAAACCTTACTCTAACATAATTACGTAGCTCTAAATTCCATTTACATTAACAAAAAAACCCTCTTTTTATTTGTAAAATTTTTATATCTTTCTAAAAAATTTACCTGAATTTGATCCATTTGAGTTACCATTAATTGATAACGCTGGTGAATGTGTCATACGCATATTTGATATTATTCCTGAGTCACTGTTATTTAAATTATTATTACTATTACTTTTATTGTTATTTGTATTGTGTGTTGGTGATGATGATGAAGTATTACTATTACCACTATTAATAAATGGTGTTCCTTTCAAACTGTTATGAAATGATAACGGTGTATTAGAATAATTTTGAGCTGGTGTTTCTCCGTTAACAGGGGAACTAGAATGATGTTGGCGGGCGACAAACTCCGCCACCATTATTTTTTCTCTTAAAACATCTGCAATAGATAAAAAATAAAAATTATTATAAAAAGGAGGTGCATATAACCATATATTTTTTTATAACATTTTTTTTAAAATTATTATGTTAAAAAAATGAAAATTTTAGGCAAAGACGCATATTTCTAATTTTTTCATTATTTATCTAATCAAATTAAACAATTGTGTTGACATAAATATCTTTTTTCATGTGTTTAAGTCATTTTTCGATCATCAATTTCATCTATTTTATATTTTAATTCAACAATAATTACAGCAACAACAATAGCAAGTTATAAATGAACATACTAGAAAAGTAAAAAACTCTAAGTCACTCACAAACTATGTTATGTAGTAAATTACAAATATAATATCAAGGCTAAAGTAGATAATAATTTAAATATAAGCGATTATGAAACAATAGTCACAATTGTTAAAGAGAATGAAAATTATAGAAATGAAGATAAAGAATTAAAGTTCTTAAAATATCAACTCGATGGAAATTTTTTCATACAACTGCAGAGCAGATGGGTGACGTAATCAAAGGAATGAGTAAAGACAGAAAAATTAAAAAATTTTTCTTCTCGAACAGGACCCGAACCAGTATTCTACCACTTTCTAGGTCGTTCTACCAACTGAGCTACAGATGTATGGAGAAATTGCCGACGAATTGTTCTTCACATTGCTTTATACTGTAATCCACATAATTAATAAGTATTGTTTACATTCAGATGCTACGTGCAATTTTTCATTTGAAACACACAATCTTAAGAACATGTATAAATAGGTATTGTGCCTATTACACTAATATACTGACTTACTAATACAACATGCAGTTGTTTTAATTAATAAGTATTAGTAATCATGTAAATATAAATTATTTTTAAAATAAAACATAAAATGCTACCAAAATATTTAACAAACAGATAAATTTATGTCGAAAATGTACACAATTACTGTTTAAGAAATATTTTTATTTGGGATTAAATTTGTCTAACAAAACTAAAACACAAAATATGTTACTGCATAACGATCTTAAATTGTTAAATAATCTGCTCTTTACTTTAGAAAGTAACAATTATATAAAAAAGTTTAGGAGGACCTTAATTAAGTACATAATTGAAAAAAGAACCGACTTAGTACCAAAATAAAATTTTAGATAAATAAGTGTTTATGACAAAATATGTATTAAGTTTAATAAAAAGTTTTAAAAAAAGTGATTTAATTTGTTAAATTAAAAAAGAAACATATATATAATAGTATTTATACTTAATAAAAACAATAATCAAAATAAATAAACAACAACAACATTAACAGCAGCAAAAGCAACAACAACAGCAGCAAAAACAAAACATATATATATATAATAGTACTAATACTAAATAAAAACAATAACTAAAATAAATAAAGAACAACAACACAACAGCAGCAAAAACAACAACAACAAAATTAATGTAAAAAAAGCCAAGAAAAGTAATCTAATTCAAAAACTAATTTTTGCTTTTTTTACCCTAAAATTCTTTTGCAATCTCAAATTATTCTTAAGCTGAGCTCACGTGTCGAATTTCCCACTTAAATTTCTATTAATTACTTTTCGTAATTCAAATATAAAAACACAATTATAAAAATTTATGTATCCCGTTCATATAAAATGTATGTAGAATGATAATAGATGCGCAATCATATATGTACATATGTATTTCGAATTTTATTTTTATGTATTTGATATCATTACATGTAATGACATATTAGTAAAAATGTTATAAAATGTCTAAATACCCAAGTATCTACCGATTAACTATTATAGTTACAATTTTTATAATAATTTCGGATGTATATATATATGTACATATATATAGATTTTTTTTCAATGTAATAGTTACACATGTATTTTAGATTATGTACAATAAATAAGCTTTCAGGTGACACATAATAATTGTATATGCATAACAACTAAAGAAAACATGTGCATTTAATAAAAAATTTATTGATACAACAGTAAAGAACACGTGCATAATGCAAGTAATACTATTTGTAAAGAACAAGAAGAAAAAACAATCATTTCGTAATACTATGTTTTTTTTTTTTCTCTTTTTTTCTTTTCGCTTGTTTTACCTACAACATTTCAGTAACGTTAGCATAATGTTGTTAAATAAGAATGATGAGAATGCATGTCCTTATTGCTTTTTGAAAAGAAATGAACTCAGCTATTTTATAATTATATCTTTAAGAAAAATTTATACTTTATATTGAATTTTAAGCAGTGACATCTATTTTGCAGTAGCTATACTAAAAATTATATCCTCCTTAAAATGTTGTCATAGACATAGTAAAAAGAATAATAACAAAATTGGCTGGAGTCTATAATATGCTAATTATCTTTTTATATAAAATCAGAGACAACTATATTAAAATTATTATATTTTTATATAAAATCAGAGACATCTATATTAAAATTATTATATTTTTATATAAAATCAGAGACATCTATATTACAGTAGATATATAAAAGAAACAATAATATTCACTGTAGAATTTTATTCTAAACACATTTAGCTTGTATGAATATACAAAATATGTTGGTGTATTTTATATACTATATATTTGAAAAATTTTTATTTTAAAAACTGTCCACTATGATGTATATGATAAAAAAAAATAATAACAAAATTGGCTGGAGTCTATAATATAATAATTATCTTTTTATATAAAATCAGAGACATCTATATTACAATTATTATATTTTTTATATAAAATCAGAGACATCTATATTACAGTAGATATATAAAAGAAACAATAATATTCACTGTAGAATTTTATTCTAAACACATTTAGCTTGTATGAATACACAAAATATGTTGGTGTCTTTTATATACTATATATTTGAAAAATTTTTATTTTAAAAACTGTCCACTATGATGTATGTATTTATTTCTTCATATTAATATTTCAGCATTTTGGTTTTCTTTTTGGATAAATGTATGTAGTCTGTTATTTTAAATTTATTATCAGAAATCATTTAAGTTTACACCCAATTCACAATAAAATAACAAATTTAAATCATATCACTATTTTTTATCTACCACATTAAGTGAAAATTTACTTAAATGTGGTGAAAAAATAATAAAGTTAGTACTAAAATATATCACTTGAATGCATACATCTGGGATGATCAAAAGAGAAAAATGATTCACACAAATTGAATATACTGATTCATAAAATTCTGTATGATTAAATAAATTACTTTTTTTTTAACCAAAATTTTTCTAAAGTTTAAATACAAGCTGCGGTAATTGAACTAGAAGACATTTCAATTTATTTGCTTATGTTTTATTGCTACATGAAAAAAAAACTATTTTATATTTTGCTATTATCAAAAACGATGGCTGTTGAAAAACTAGTTTTTTTTAGTTACTAAGGTATATATTCAGCAGATTAAGAACGCCAAATTCTAACTAATTAGTTTTTGTGAAAATCTCTTGTTATTTTGAAATAAAAAAAATATAAAAATGTTTTTTTTTTTATATAAATTATTTTATTTAATCATTTTAATATTATTACATACAGTATTATAATATAGTTATTAATTAATACATTTTTTTTCTTTTTCTCTTTCAAATATTTTTTTGTTTTTTGCTTTCTTTTTATATTATATAAAATATAAACAACCTCCATTTACTAGTATAATGAATGGTATCGCATAAAAAAAAAACAATAATCAAATTAAAAGAGGCGGGATAGGGCGGGAGTGAGGGATCCTTGAAATAAGAGGCATTTAAAAAAATAATTTATTTAATTTTTTCCCATTTTTGTATATATATATAAAGAATCATTGTACATACCATTTAATATATATATATATAGTTTTTTTTATTTATTTTCTTTAATAATTAAATTCCAAAAAAATATTTTGTTATATTTTTTTCTAATTTTCATTTTTAAATATGTGTTAATTTTGTTGGTTTTTTTCAAATTTCAATTCTTTTGTTTATTTGTTTTATACAAAAATATAGTAATAATTTATTTTTTTTTAAATAATTAATAAGATCTTTGTATACAAATATATTTTAGTTTCGTTTTTAGCTTTTTTATAATATTAATATAAAACACCGTCATTTTATTTTTGTTCTTTTTTGTTGCTGTTTTAATTTTTGTTATACTTAATATGTTTTACGTAAAATAAAAAGATATGATAAATTGAATCCAATTATATTTTTACTTTTCTTTTATTTACATAGGTTTCGTATTTTACTCTAACTCATTCTTTTTTACTTTTTCGTTTATTTAAAAATTACTTTATTATAATCAATCAACTAAATATCTTTAATAATAAATGAAGTCCTTTTTTATATAATTATTAATATATAAAATATATTTTTTTTTCTTTTCTATTTTTATAATATAAAAAAACATTCTTATATACATAAACATACAGATTATTTATTATTCATATATATTACTTATAATTCATATATATGTAATTTTATAATTAAAAAACAACAAGATTAAATATTCTAATTAACTTAATTTAAAAAAAAAAATTTCAAATTTTTTTAAATACACACTTATGAATCTTTAAATACACACTTATGAATATAATGTATATATGTATGTGTAGTTATTAAATAAAATTTAAACTTATAAGTATATGCATGTATATTTATGTATTACATGAAGAATATATTTTTATTTTTTAAATTTACATGCTAAAATTTTTTTTATATAAATAATTTTTTTTTAAATTTTTGATTTACCTTTTTTTTTATTTTGTTTTTCTTTAATTAATAGGATTAATTTTATATTAAACTCAACACATTTTATTTTCTTACACATGCATAAATGTAAATTTACATTTTATAAATTAAAAAAAAAATTAAAATAATTATAGGACAAGAAAATATATCACTTAATATAAAAAAAAATTTAAATATATATTTTTTTACATCTCGGTATATAAATACGGTATAAAATTTACAATATTTATGTTTTTAACCGGTTGCACGTTAATGAAATTTTAAATAAGTAAAAACATTTCCGTCGATTTAAACCGAA